TTATATGCATGTAACTAAATATATTATAAATACTTATGTATGTATACTATATAAAAACCTGCCGTAACTGACGTACGTGCTCATGTATAAAACAAATGAACTTTATTTTATTTTATATCTGAATTCAAATCTCGAGATAGCGCGGAATTTCAAGCCCACATGCATACATACATATATACGTACATATGTACGTAGTTACACGCTAACATAACCTTAACCCCATCAAAAATAAAACAATGCGATAAATGCAAAACTTCAGCACAATAGTTTGAGTTTACGTTTAAGTTTTATTATTGTTATTAATTTTTTTTCCTAAATTTATTTGCTCTTAGCAAAAAAAGACGTCAGCACTTTAAGCCGCAAAATTTGCTTAGAAGCAACAACTGACGCCTCAAGGTTTTCTGTGGTACTCAGAATCAAACAAATCCGACAGAGTTGGAGACATGTGTACATTTTTACAAACATACAGATGTTCAAACATACATACAATGGTGCATGTTCGTATACAAGTGCATGAGTGGCTATTGAAATTTGCCAGACATTGTTCAAAACTGGCAACTTTTTGTTTTAACTGAGTTTGTTTGATGCAATTACAGCATATAGTATGTGATTACATGCATACCTACATACATACATACGTACATACCTGCGTGCAAACACATTGATTTTTTATTGACGTGGGAGACGCGCAAATCCTTTGTAGCGCTCAATTGAGTTTTGTTTTATTAATTTTTTATTGCGAACAATAAAATCTGTCGAAGTGCACAAAGTGCAATTAATAATCTCCCATTATTGCACATGTATTTGATTATTTTCAGTGAATATTATTTAAAATCTCACTTGGAAACATCCTTTGTTCGAGTAACATATAATATTTTAAGGTTGCTTATTATCAAAGCTTCGCTAGGAATTCCCGATCTCGCCATTTTCACCGTAATCAGAGGGACTCACCTAGTAACGCTCAGTACGCTTCCTAGACTCATTATCAGTTGTTTGACATTCATTTTCTCCGTGCACTAGCTTACGGAATAGTGAAAGAAGACACAGAGAAAGCGAATGCATACATACATATGTATATGTATATGTATGTACATATATTTCTTATTTATTTTATAAATTATCACAATTTGTTTACGATTATACAATTGTATAATTGTACGTATTAAATTATTATTTTATATTATAATGAATCATTTAGTTGATCGATTCGAGTGTAAAAGGCAGATGTATGTATAATTGTACTTGTGTCTCGTAGACATCACAGTTTATAAAAGTTCCTTACCACGAACCTCATACTATTACTCAAAAGAGAATTTCGCCCATTTCATCTCCTTCAAAGTAATCCCTTCCCGCTGCAATACACTTATGCCAACAAATTTTCCAGTCATCATAGCACAAATATCCTCCGTCGTGAGCCATCAGAACCTTCTTCGATTCAGCTTTTATACTCCGGTGTCCTCGGAGTGGTCATGTGAATTTGCTGAAAAGCCAGGAGTTATACGAAGGTAAATCAGGCGAATGCGGTGGTTGCGGTACGATATTAGTTGAAAATGTGGCAACATGATCACGAATAATCAATGCAGTATGACATGGTGCATTATAAAACTTCTTTATTCAATAAATTCAAATATAGTTAAAAACGAAGAATTCACTCCTCAGCCTCACAAAAAACAGACGCGTATCTCAAATACTAATGAATATTTTGACGTGAAATTTAGCATAGATGTCGCTAGCAGTATTACCAACTTACAGAAAAAAAATTTACCGATTCGTAAAACACGCGTAGTATAAATTCACCATTCAATTTGATCACAGACCCCATAAATACTTTTAACAAACAATTTTCAAGTTTATGAGCTTAAATTGCGATATATAGAAAGCTCTCTTATTTTCCTTGAGGATATTCATACATAGGCCATTAATAAGGATTTAAACATGAAATCGAGACTGAACTTCGGAGCTCCTTTAAAGTATTTATAAGTATGTAAATGATTGCCATGACAAGGTGAGTCGATTTAGCCGTGTCTATGTATTTGTCTATATGTATACATAAGTGAACTAGTTTTTGCGATGTCGATCTTAAATTTTGCCATATCCTTTCATCCGGAAGAAGCTTTTCATTCCACAGTACCACCGATTTATCATTGCATATAGCAGCCATACAAATTGTACGATCAAAATCCAGTTTCTGTATGGGAAACTTTTTCATTTGTCAAGATATTTTCAATAGCTATAGTCGCCAAACAATTTGTCCCACCAACCTTAAGATAAAAATCTTTTTAAACCCTTTAAAGCAATAAAGAAATGCAACTGCGAAAGGCATTATAACTTCGGAGCAAACGAAGTTAACGTTTTTCTTGTTTTTATGTATTTATTTTTGCTGTTTTTCAATATTTTCGTAATTTGACAATTTTCCTACCTGGAAACTAAACATACATACATATACACATCTATAAAACTGCATAGATAAACTCATATCAGAAAATGTACATATGTATGTATGTATGCACGAATGTGCTTGAATTTTTATGTGTTTAGTTAAATATGCAAAATGGCATGAAATGAATGATTTCACACTTGTTGCGCTGTCAAAAACATTTCGAGCTTTTGCTTTAGTATGCGTAGCGTGGAAGGCTCTTAACATTTGAAAACAAGGTTGTGAAGCAACATGTGTTCATTCATACACATTTGTAATTTAAACAATGCTAATGCATATACTATACATACATATATCATAGCACATTAAACTGTAACAATGGACTACAAGTAAGGCAATTTAAGCTCTTAATGAAAACAATTGGACGCAACCTTGACTTCGGGGAATGCATTAGTGCGCTGACCGCATACATATGTACATTGCGTGCCTCAAAATATTGTTGACAAATGTAAGTAGGTGGGCAGTAACGGGAATCGATCCACATACACATACATACATATGTATGTATGTATGAATATGCATATTTTATTGCATATACATTACATATAGAGGCATTACCTTTGAGTATTGTAATTGATATTTTATTGCATATACATTACATATAGAGGTATTACCTTTGAGTATTGTAATTGAAAATCAATAGTTTTCAAAGTGTTTAGCAACAAAATATCAAATATAAGTGAACACGCATAAAAACACATGTTCCTTGGGGTAATATTAATAATGGTCATAAAAGTATAAACACTATAACTATGAACACGGCTATACCTAAAAAAAAATCAAAGCTGCTTGCTACCTTTTGTTATATGTTAGACAGAAGCTGTTGCTTGATTACTACGGATGTCCTCCACCAAAATCGAGTAAAAAAAAATATTTTGCAAATAATCATAAAGTCGTATGTAAACAACAGCGAGTAAAAAAGTATTTAACAAAAACTCATAAACTGGAATGTAACCATAAAAGTTTATCAATAATACCGATCGATTGTAAGATTATTATCAGTTAGCAATTAATTGTGAACTAATATTGTTCTAAACTATTTTTGTAATAGGACTATAAAACATCACATTGGCCAAATACAATTTTTTGCATGTTTTAGAGATTGTTTGCATTAGAGTTTTTAAGATTACCGGGAATTGCCGATACTTCTTGAAATTAATTACTGACCGCACGGGCTCAATACAAAATTAATTTGAAATAATAATAACAGAATATTGGCTGAGACTCTAGTACTAATCCTTTGAATATTTAAAAAATATTTAAAATTGAATATTTGATCATGCATCAACAGCATGGATCAAATGCGGTAATGCAAATCTTTTCGAGTCGTATACGCAAATGTTATGTCTGACAAAATACGTATTATATGTACATATATGTTTGTATGTATACAAAGCAAGTAATTCGAAACATTTTCAAACCGATCGCATTACCATACCATGTATGTCTGTATGTATGATTATACTCCCGCCACTGTTACATGTACATACATACATATGTATGCGATTGATTGCGGTACTCCTCAGCGTTGAGGTAAACCGACCGCTCACAGAAATTCAAACAAACAAATCTAGACCAGTTTACTTGAGTCGTGATGGAGGGATATTATTAAATATCGTATGCACATATTTACATACATACATATAAACGTTTGCATTGTATGTAACTGTGCACATGTACATATGTATTTACATTAGTGATTTTAGAAGGAATACTTTATTTGCGCATAACATGTGCACTGTACACAGTTAACTCGTTGATCCGGCTCCAACGTAATCCGGCAGCGTTACACACCGATAAAGCCTAGCTTTGCTCTTATTTTTAACGTGCACTCATTTGCTCTCTTAGTAATAAATGTAATTTAAAAGTCTCATTTTTCAGCGAGTATATATTTATACATATACATATGTATGTACATACATACTTAAACAGTGAATTTGGATGAGTATGCATTATGCTTGATGTGATTGAATATATGTACATACATATGTAATATATTACTTACATACATATACGTATGTATAGAGTTATCATATGCACTCGTACCTTTGATAGCTATTTAACAATAATTATTTTCCCTAATAAATGAAAGGAACAAGAATCGAAAGAGTTTTTAAATATCAAAATTACGCTCGGGGAGGGCAAAAGTCTCCTGAGTGCTGAACATGAAATTGAAGCCTTCAAGCAGGTGGGTCCCAAAGTCGTGCATGAAAAGATTGTTTGATACAAATTGTTACCTAATTCAATCTCGAATTTTTTAAAGCGCTGTTTTCTTTTGAAATCTTGTAAAAAATAAGAACTTTTGTCGGGTACATTTCGGTGAAAAACAGTTGAAGGATAATTCGAAGGGTAAGTGACTCTTATATAGCTCTAGTCTGACATACATATGTATGTATGTATGTATATATAGTTTACTATCAATCACTTCGACTACACCGATATTAGTTTTAATTTCTTCGTCTCTTCTTCGCTAATGATTCTTTGGTTTTTAGTTAACGCTACTTATTCAAATAATTATATGTGTATATGTGCGTATGAGCGTGTATGCCTTTCGGGCACTTACCTGAGAGTGGAGTTTCCAATCTTTGTACGCTTTTACAATATAATCCATTTTTATGTTATTTTGTAGTTTCTATTCTTTTGTAAGGCAAGCGGAAATGTGAGATCTTTCCACCAATCAACGTTGGGAAGCAGTCTGAGTCACGATCGTCTTTTCCTTCTTCACACTAGACAACGCGAGCAAAACTTTCGCAGCTGATCTTCTTGTGTTGACTTGGTCAATATGAGCATGTGTGTTAATATGTATGCACTTAATATATATGGATATGTATACACTTTTATACACGATATGTGTGCTTGAATTTCTTCTCTTATTGTTTATTTTTCGAATAATTTATTTGTTTTGGTAAAATCCTCAAACCTTTACCACGAAAGTCAGTTAATTGTTGTAGTTGCTTTATAAAAACCCAATAACAAATGTACTTTACACGATTTGTTGTATGTTAGCTTCGCACGCTGTTGATACTGAAAGGTAAACGACTTGCACTTTAACAATTAACGGTTGTTCCGGACGTGTTATGACGAATACCGCACTGCGGGACGCGAACGTTAGCTATAATATTATGTATATATGTACATACTTATGTGTACGTCAGAGAACTCAACGCCGTTGACGTGCTGCAAATTACAATTCTTCATGGGAATTTACTGTTTCATTGGAAAATGCGAAATGCGAAGCAATGCACCAATCTGTTGTCCCCAGCGACTCTAATGCACATATTAAGCGAAACAGTTTGTATGCATTACACCACGTTTCACTAATCACTGGAGTGACGGTGTGCAGGCAAATATTTTAATGAATTAATGGGATTTATTATTTTCAAGTGTTTTCCACGATGATCGATTTGCATTTAGTTCTGGGACTGAGTGATCCTCGCTTTTTATCGTATTCGTATTGAGGTAGTATTTCACAAACCCATATATGTATGTACAAGCGTGTTGATTTTCGAGTCACCGATGCGCGTGGCAACAAAAGCCGATTTTAATTATTGTATGCGAAATAGTAATAGTGTGCCCGGTGCTTTTTGTTTTGTTGAAACACAAAATTCACTGTGAGAATGTCTGCTGACCGGTAGATTCCGGCTTGCGCGCCACAATTCAAAGCAAATTGCACGTTTGTTCGACTTTTCGCCAGTTGTCCGACAGAAGCGCCAGACTATCGAGTGGTGTGTAATGAGGATTGGGAGTACAGTGCCTGCGTGGAAACGCTTAGCGTTGGTTAAACAAGTGAATGAGTGAGTTGGAGTAAGAGTCTCGTCTCGACGATCTTTCTCGCAGCGCGCACAACTAACTCCGATTCGCGATTGATACCGACTGACTTCTCTACTGACGACTAGCAGCTGTCGACTCAAGCGACTTTCTGCTGACGGCAACCTACCTACTTACCTACAGCTGTTCCAGCTGGCGCCCCAGTGAAACACCGACGAAGTTATGCGTGGCGCGGTGTGTCAATGCGGGGCGTTGGAGACGAACTAGTATGACGGTGGAGAGCATTATACGAGCACAAGAGCATAGATACGTATATAATCGTATATACTGATACAAGTTGGCATATACATACATATGTACACATTATGTGACTGTGTGGGTATACACCAATTTATTTGCGTTCACATATGGACACATGTAGAAATATACACTCATATATTTTGCATGACTGACTAAATTTTGAGTATCAACCAAGAAACGTTCATAAAGCATTGCTTTTGCAGGTTTGCAGGTGCAGCATTTGTTTCGTCCTCTCCTCGACCTTACCCACATTTGTTATTCAAATGAACATTTCAATCTTATTTCAGCCGGTCTGTGTATTCGTTGGAACGTCCCAATGTCTGTGCTGCGATGGCCACGTTGCGCACTGATCATTGTGGTGTTGGTAGTTGTGGTGGTGTGGTTGTCAAAGCCTGTTTAACATTATGGTTGCGAATACTCTATTTTCATTAAAACAAAAGCGAGAGGTATTTAAAGCAGTGAGCACTTTGTGGCTGTGCAGCTTCTAAGTAACAGTGGGCTTACCTAACCGAATTGTCGGTTCGTCGATAAGGCATAAGGATAGAGTGACAAACGCACCCACATAAGCGAAAACACTTCCCCAACTGGAAAAATTTTTTTTTATCAATTTTAAACAATATTTTGTCTCATATTGTAAGCTTATCGAATATTTTAAATATTTGCAAAAGTTGCTTATTATAATTGCTCCCTGCTGTCCTTATATCTTCCACAATGTCTATGAGGGCACCTAATGTTCTACGATATACATATGTATATACATATGTATGTACGTACTATATGTACATATGTATATCGAGCCATGCCTTACAAAGGTTAGGCGATGAACCGTGCTCTTCCTTTGTTTTGCCTACAGGGTTTCTGACGTTTAAACAAATACAAACAAAAGCTTTGTTTTTATTGTTTGTTTGTAGTTAGTTACTAGAGAGTGTTTGAAGAGCGACTATGATTTGTTGTGAGTGATTTGATTCACTAAGAGAAATTGCGGCGGCTATACTATATTTTATTCATACTTTATAACTTATGATGCTTACGCTTGATTTTCGATTCGCATGGGTATAGAGTGTAAATGCACATTTATAAGCAAAACAATTATAATCCATAAGTACCTAATATTTATTAGTCATTATTTATCAGTAAACCGTACGTACACACATACATTGTTGTACTCGTATGGCATACAAACAAATTATTTGCAGAGCAAATTTAGCTGTGTGGTGTTTTGTAGAACATGTCTATTTATTGACACTCCAAAACTGGTGACACAAATGTTTCTTTTCATTGATATCAATTAATGAGAAAATTGTATATCTTTGATAACGATCCAATAACACATGCAAAGTTACTAAAGAACTTTACTTTTTTTGGATTATAAAATTTTTGTCTGACATAAAAAATTAAAAGGTACATATGTATGTATTTGTATAAAATATAAAAAATAAAACATGCTCATCATAGTTATGAAAAGTTATGAAAACAAATACAAACACAAAATTCTAATAAAATGTTGGTGATCGTTTGCTTTTTTTCAAAATTTTCAAGCTACCAAAATTTTTTTCGGCGATGTCTTTTAATTCTCTAAACATGTCAAATGTTGTCAAATAATTTAGATTATTACTATAATCTTTAACTAAATCCTCTGAAAGTAAAGGAAAAGTGAAGCTTTTCATATAACTCAATTTGAATGTTTGCTCTTTTATCTAGTTTTAAAATGGTTGAGTTGAAATTTCAATTGTAACATCAAACGACCTGAAGAGACGTAAAACAGTTCCGAACAGAGAGGGGTGATAACTAGTTGGAAAATTTCAGCACTGTATAAGTAGAATAACTATAGAGATTAAATACACTTCTACATTTCCAAAAAATCTAATTTTGGCTAGAAATACATACATATTTATATCCATATATGTTTGAAAATATTATTCCGATTTTTTGAGTTCATCCAGCAAATAGTTTCGGAGATATGAATTCTGTAGCTTATTGTAATCGGCTCCAAAACTATAAGCGCGTTTTTCTCGAAACACTGTTTTCAGAGTTTTTCGCAACGACGGAAGCAATTGACTTTAAATTTTTAGAAATATCAGGTAATGATCGAAGAAGTAAGAATCTGAGGCTCTGAATTGTAAATTTTTACAAATTTTTTTTTTTTGAGAAGTTGCCATTTTGTCAAAAAACATTACTACTTCTTCGATCATTACCAGTATTAATGTATAATAATCATAATGCATAATAAATTAAATTAAATAAAAAATGTATATACTTTTATTTATTAAATGAAAAATACTAATACAATTATTATCTTACTTAGTAAGTACCACTAGCTACTACTTTCCAGATGGAGTCAATTTTGTAACCTTCACCTGAATTTCTAACCAACGTCGGTGGTCAGATTTGCTTACAATAAAAAGTTGTCGTTAATTAGAAAATGAAAATTTAAACATAAAGTTTATCCAAGTAATATTTTTAATTATTTCGAAAATGGGTGTGCTATTGATAGTCTTTCTGCGCTATAAAAACCCGACCATACCAGAAATTGAAGCGTTAACTTGCTAATTGTGGTAGTCATAATAACTTCTTAGAGCTCTATTGCATATAATCCGTCTAAAGCATCGTAAACCATGGTCTAAGTACTATCGGTGCGATATTTTATTATATTTATAGGCAACGGGTGTTTTTTTTTTTTATACATACGAACATATGTACATATATACACAAATATTCGACTCGATAAGAAAGGTATATAAATATTTTAATTTAAGCTATATATTTTAAGTAAAGGGGAGCTATATTTTAAATTAAGACACTCAGTTCAAATTTATGAATCTCTTGCCCTTTTGTTATGGGAATATACATACAAAAAAATCCAAGGAAATACATAATAAAGCAGTTTCTAAATAAAAGCCCATCCGGCTGTTATTATCTGTTTTGACACATAATTTATATAAACCTAATGAGTTTTGCAGACAACTGTTTCTAAGTATTTTCAAGCTTTATTTCAACTTGTGTAGTAAAAACTAATTTTGAATAACCCCACTTCAATACATGCACGCCGAGCCATATTTATTATTATTGCAGGGTCGTCAGCAAGATATGTCACCAAAAGTAAAAGTTTCCCTGAGATTTCTGTACCAGGCGCTGTTCCGTCTAACTGGCTACACGTGGCCATATGTTAAAAACATGTTTAAGTGTGTTTGATGCTACACGTTGGCTTTGCAGATGCTGGTACAGGAGATTCAAATCAAAAATACGCTAATTTAATTATCACACACAAGTAATTTGTTCAACATACAAACTGACATACATATGTATTTATAAATGTATATACATATGTATAGATTAGAAGGAGTCACACAAATTTACAAAATTGTCACAACAAATGTCGAGTAACACCACCACACACATATTGAAATTGTGAGAATATATGTACATATCTGTGTGTAAATAAGACAAGTGCGGCAGATTATTCTCCACCTGGTCTTTCTAACGGAGTGAAGGTTTTCCTCTTCATCCGCTTCCCCCGGTGGGTACTGCTTTTAATACTCTCAGAGTTGGAGTGTTTTCATCCATTCGGATGACATGACCTAGCCAGCGTAGCCGCTATCTCTTAATTTGACTTAGTTCAGGCACCATGAGTATGATGAGTGACTTGTAGAATTTGGTCTTAGTTCGTCCAGAGAGGACTTTACTGCCCACTCAGTCCGAAGTAACACCTGTTGGCAAGTGTTATTCTGCGTTGGATTTCGAGGCTGATGTTGTTGTTGGTGTTAATCGAGTTATCTACGACTTCGAAGTTATTACTGTCAACAGTGACGTGGGAGCCAAGACATCATTGCGGCGACTGTTTGTTTGATGACAGAAGATATTTCGTTACTATCAGACCCATTTGCATCGCTTCTTTGTCCAATCTGGAGAAATCAGAAATAACGGTGCGGTTGAATATATAATATTTAGACTTAATTAATACATAAATTCAAAACTGAATTATGGAAAATGTGTCGCATTGATGGACAACTTTCAACAACCAGTTGAGATGCTCCATTCCATTAAGATTAAAGTAAAAAAGTTTTTTTAATAAAGTGTTATTCTGAATATTTGATATAAATCTGAAACGAGTTTACCGCCGAATTAGATGTATGTCTTTCCTCTACAGTGTTTCAACCAGAAATATGAAAGTGTCAAGTTTTGATATCGTATTTACATCCATACATACATATGTTAAAATGAAGATCTGAGTATCTGAAAATGGCTAAAGGGGAGTAGTTGTGCTTTTGGTGTAATTGCTTCGCCTTTTATTGTATACCATATACATATGTACATACATATATTTGTGTGTATAAATAATAAAGAAGATTTGTCACAGCCATAATGAAGATAATAAATTGTTCAAAATATTGATTAACGCCTATCCTCGTTTAAAATCGATTTTCATAACTTCTTTCCCTCATCAACTGCAAAAACACATATACAAGTAAAAAAACTTCGCAACCTCACAAAGCCGTGTCAAAATATTTATTCGTAGTACATTGTACATATCATATCTATGTATGAGTGCGTGGGTATGAAAAAGCGGTGAAATCGTTTTAGTAAACAATAACAAATACTGTGACACTTTAAAATATGTAATCGTTAACGGCAGTTTGTCATAAAACTTTATTTAATTGTCAAATATGTACACACTCAATTTGTCACTATCAATTTGTTTGGAGATCAAGAGCACGAGTCCCATATTTATAATTTTTTTTATTTATTTTTATTTATTTATAAAAGCTTATACAATGTTAATAACATATGTACAACCTAAACATGCAGCGCTAGCTGCAGAGGCTATCGCCTGTCCGTTGAATAAATGTGTTGGCTTAAATTCTCCTCAGGAGATCACATTCATTAAGTGACGTGGGGATGCTCGGAGCGATCTTCTAACAGCGGAGTGATGGTGCAGCCAACAATTTTAGGTGACTTTTTGGATGATGCCCATATATTTCAAGAGCATAATTGATAACGGAGAGTATGAGTGCCTTGACAACATTAATTAGCAAAGATCGGCCAATGAGCGAACGCTTGCATGCTAGGTACTTAACAATATTTGAGTTTTTAGTAATTCTATTTCTAATATATTGACAATGTTGTTTGAATGCATATTTACTATTTAGAATTAATCCAAGAAACTTAAGTGTAGGAGAACATGAAATATTGTTGTTGGAAGCTGTTACATTAGCAGGGAGGAAGTAGAAGGCATTTGAGACTTGTATAAATTGATGGCTTCACGCATCGAACACTTGTGGATAGTTTTAATTTTAAGTATCTCTTTAGGCTGGACAAATTTTGGACAGGCGTTAAAGGAAGAAGGGTGTTCACAATCGCAGTTAGCACATTTGACTCTAGAGCATTCAGTGGGAGGGGTATGATTGGGGGTTAGGTTGCAGATAGCACAAGATGGGTTCTTGTTACATCGCTTAGCAGTATGACCCAGCAACTGACAATTCATGCAGCGCATGGGATTAGGATAGTAGGGACGGATATCGAGAGTACACCAGGCAACTTCAATACGACTAGGTTAAGTATATTTCTCAAAAGTTAATAAAGCGCCAGTAGGTACACGATTACCATTGTTTATCTTCGTAAATTTACAAACATCGGATACTCCTTGATCTTTTAGAACATCAATTATTTCGTCATCAGCAAGCTGACAGATAAATGGAGCGTAAATTGTACCCTTTACTGAGTTCAGAGAGTTGTGAAGAGATATATCAATAGCMCCAGCTCCGGGAAGATGTTTGGTTTGTAAAAATTTGTCAGCAATTTTTTGGTTCTTGACCAAAAGAAGAAGTCTGCCGTCACGAAGCGATGTGATTTTGTTAATGTCTTTGCTTATGGCCTGAATACCTTTATGTACTGCAAAGCAAGAAGTGGATGCAATAGKTTTTCTGGCGTCCTGTGATTTGATTACGAGGTACTTGGGATCATCCTTCTTAGAAATAGGTAATTCCGGGAGAATTCCAGCGTTGAATTTTCTGGCTTTTTCCTCTTGTTTTTAAGACCCGGGGATAATAGTGCAAACCTATTATCCCCCAGCCTGTTGGCCCCAGGGGTAATTGCGAAAGAAATTACGTTCTTACTCGATTAAATTGTGGGTTTAACTTTATAATTAAAAGTATAAAAAACACGTGGAAAGTGTTACGAATTGAAGCTCAAAATGTCAAAGCTAGGTTAAATTGCGCGTACACCAAGTAACGAGAAGTTATGCAGCGAGTATGTACATATATGTGCGCTTGATATGAAAAAATCAACCGTACACAACCACGAACAACGAACGAAATGATATTTATAATTAATTTTTCGATTGACTTTTTCGTTCATAAAAAAAATTAGGAGATATGTTAACCTTAAGGCGATATGGAAGATACAAAGACTTGTACAAGGTAGCTTTAAAATTTATATCATTTATTACATCTGTGAGTAACGTTCCTGCAATTGAATTTAAATACTTTTTAGAAAAAAACTTGACGAAAGCATATAATTTGAGGACTTCAGAGAACGCATATTTATAGAGAAGGTCCAATATATATATAATATACATTCTCTGGAAGGTCCAACAACGGACAGGCGTGTAAACTGTCAAAAGCTAACAAAATGCGATGAGCGTGTTTCACCACAGCTAGATAAGAAGGAGAAATCTTAACCAGAGAATGTAAAGTACAGAGAACGTATATTTATAGAGAAGGTCCAACAACGGACAGGCGTGTAAACTGTYAAAAGCTAACAAAATGCGATGAGTGCATTTCACCACAGCTAGCTAAGAAGGAGAAATCTTAACAGTGGAGCGTGAACAGAGCTGAGCATTCAATGACAATTATGCTCAGAAATATACATTTCTATTGCACACGTATGTTAGCCTTTTGCATATAATTCTATACGTTTACATGCAATCATATTAATTGATATGATTATCGTTTTGCGTATTTCTATGAATATATGCATAATTACAACATTCTGCTTAAATTATCCTATTTTCAAAACAATATTTGCAGTTAATGTGCAAATAACATTTATTTATTAAATATTTCTTAAATATACGTTCTCTGAGGACTTGTTCTTTTCTACTGCAGATGGCGCGCCTAGTATAGCGCTGAATATCGATGTCATAGTTTTGACATTTTGTTTTTTGCTTAATATCAGAACTTTACCATATTGAAAAAGAAACTCAAGTTTAAATAGCGACAAAAATTATTATTAAAAATATAAATAAATATTCGTCCGATTTCTATTAATCATGTCGTATCAACTATACAGAAACACAACACTTGGAAATACTTTACAAGAGAGTCTTGATGAACTAATTCAAGTAAGTAATTTCTTCATATTGATATAAACATATTAGCTTGGTTTTGCAAAAACTGTAATTATTATAAACCGCTTGTTTTAGTATGGTCACATTACACCAACACTGGCATTCAAGGTACTCTTGCAGTTTGATAAGTCTATCAATCTAGCCCTAAATCAACGAGTCAAGGCTAGAGTTACATTCAAGGCGAACAAACTGAATACGTATCGATTCTGCGATAATGTGTGGACGCTTATGTTAAATGAAGTAGAGTTCCGCGAGGTGCACGAATTCGCCAAAGTTGATAAAGTGAAAATTGTAGCGTGCGATGGAAAGAGCGGTGAATTCAATGGATAATGTATTAATATCTACACGACAATATGGAAAACGGTATCAGTTCTCGGCTAAACTATTATTACACATTGATGCTGACTAGGATTTAGTGATTAGAAAGGAACATTGAATGCTTGGACAAAGTTGTTCGGAGATACAAATATTTAAGTAAATTAGTAAAGTAATGTATAAAAAAAATATATATTAAAATACAGAGATGAATTTTTTATGACAAATGGTCTTAAAAATATTATATATACTAATCAATTAAACCGATAAGGTTGATAATTAAACATCTAATTTTTCTTACTGCAATTGTTAGTCGTTCTTTAAATTCAAATACCATGTATGTATGTATGTCTATCGAAATAATTCTTAAAAAATGCAACTGGTATGTGCGCATTTTTATGATTACACTTGCTTGCACTTGTGATTAGATAATTTTTATTTTATCCAATTATTTTTATTTGTACTAGTCCGCTGTTATAAGGTTAGTGTTTTAATAAAAACATTCATATAATATATATTTCCAAAATGGCGGTGTGTGCTTTCAATATTGTACAAAAACAAAATATATGTATATCAAGCAAGTGTCTAAATATATTTGGCTCGATACCAAAGTTGTAAGTTCAGAGCGGCCAAAATATGGTACCACGATATTGCCCTTCCATTGCGTTTATACGTATGAATGTACATATGTATGTATATGTATATATGAATACTAGGCTCTTTTTTTTTAACTATTAATTTTTTTTAATCCCGTCACGAAATTTCCTTGCAAATACCCTAAAAAAATTCCCTGAAAATTTTAGCCCTTAATATTAAAATTAAGAACTAGACCAAGGCATGTAAACATTTTCCATAGAAAATACACTACAATCGCGATTTTTTATCTTTAAATTCCTACAGATCAGAGCTATAGTAAATGACAGCTATAGAAAAAATGTACATGACAAACTTGTAGGAAATTTTATTTGCTACAAAAAAGGTCCGAGATTAAAATCGCAGTAAATTTTTTTAGGGTATTTCCAAGGAAATATCGTGACGGGATTGAAAAAAATTAATAGTTAAAAAAAACACAATAATGAATACGAAAAGAAATATTTTTGTATGTACTGTAATTAAAGTAAATAAGTTTTAACCACGATTTTATTTTTTTTTTTATTGTATATGTCAGCATTAGCACGATGACAATTACATATGACTCGCAATAAAAAAAATTAATTTTATTGTTGTGTCTAGTTAATTATTTTTGCGTGTAATAATTGATAACCTTTCGATTTAAATTTTATAGCTTAGTCGTGTCTTATTTAGTGATTTTTTGTTATCACTATAAATTTAAATGTATGCTTGAATATTTACATAGTGGACTAAGTTTGTCCATTTTGCGGGCAAGTATGCGTAAATTAACTTTTAAAATCATGATTATACAAACATCAAATTTGTTATAAATTATATTATTTATAATTTCATCATCATTAATTCTCCAAATAAAGGGTTTATTCTGAACAGTTATGAAATATATACATATATATGTGAGTATAGCTTTGTATGCATATATGTATAAGTCTATACATTTTCAATGTTACTTTGAGTACCCATGAAATCTTTACTTTTCTCTAAAAATTTCTTATCGTCTTTGTTCATTAATATATTTTTGTAATCGTCGGATATGTGAGTCGACTGCCTTGTTGAAAACGCTCGTTATTGGTAAAGTGTTAAATTATTGTCCTCAACAACAAAAGGCAACCTAGTACTTTTTATCATTTCGTGAATCGCTGCTTTGCTAGAACGATTGATTTAATATGTGAATCAACCACTTAAAGGTAAAGTCTTTGTTATATTCATGTTAAACATTATAAAGTATATATTGTTGATATGGTTAATTTCTTCAAATGAACAAGGAATATTCATGTACACATGTATATAAATTTCAAACACTCAAGAATCCCTATAATATAGTAGTAAACTGTCTAATGATTACGCGATGGGCCATATCATTCCATGAGTGGAAATATTATCAATAATATGCATGCTCCAGTTTCACTTTAGAAAGCCGCGCTCTAAGATTTGCAAACCGACTAAAACCGGTTTGTCATTCCGGTAAGACCTTACGACTTCAATATAAAATATTCGCAGAATAGACAATGACTTCCAGTTTAAACCAGACAATATTTAATTAAGTACATTGTACACTGGTGAGTCTGAATGCGTACAAATTACATACATACATATAATATGATGTGGGGAAAATATACATGTTCAAATGTATGAATGTATTTTCAAAAATAATTTTACACACTGTGTGATTTTTCTTTCTTTTAACAGATAACAATTTCCAGTCAAAACAAAACAAGTACTAAGCATCACTTAGCGACAACAATTTCTGCTTACATATGTCTTTCATCCCGCTCCATTTATAAACAAATATTGGTGAAATACACAACCTCACTGATATCAGATTATTACACCCAATTTGTTACCATGTGAGTGTGGTTAGTGTGTGTTCATGTTCCTCAGTGGGTCACAAGTTCAAATCCTTTGAAAAATTAACGAAGTACTATTATCATTTTAAACATCATTTCTACATTACTATTTTAAGAAAATTAATTGACTCTTATTAAATAATATACATGTGGTTTTTGTATTTATTTGACCCTTGCCATTTATTTTATTTATGTATATATAAATGTAATTTTAACAACCACAAGGGCGATCCTATATAACTATTTGTACAATCAACATCTATTCACATTTTCATAACCTCAATTTATCTGTACTCATATTATCATACATTTTTATATTGAGCATAGTTCACAATTTGTTAACAATTTGTAATTATTTATATTTGCTACAAAGTATAATTCATGGGTGTTGATATCTATATAATTTTTCTATATGTTCCAAATTCAGGTATAATTCATGTTTAATTTTAAATATATTACTACTTATTAACTAAAGGTAAATTATACATTTTGAAAATACATTGATGTAGAATATCCCATAATGCGCAATCTCCTTTCCTGAAAAAGGTTACATCACAACAATTGGGCAAAATCCATAATGTAATACTGTGACCGCTGATGGACTTCATTCCGCAGCACATTGCCACCAAAACCAATAACATTGTTCGCAGGAGGTGATGCCTCCAAATCCGTCGCACCATCACCAATCATTGTAATATTAGCGTTGGGATGGCAGTGTTTAATAATCGAAACTGCTTCCGCTTTGCCGCCACTTTTTGAAGTAGGCTCTGTAGTATCGAAGCTTGCATAATCACCATTAAAATAGAAAAGCAATTTATTTGCAAATATATGATTTCGTGGTATTCCCAGTTCGTCTGCAATAGGATCGATCAAGCAATGAAATCCTCCCGAAATTAGATAAATTTCTTTCCTTTCCGCTTTTAATTTTTCTATAAAAGCTCTAATATTTTTAGTTAACGTACAAGGGCGTTGTTGGAGAAACTCATTGATCTGCTTTTGACTTGGTCGAATAATATTTAATCTTATATTTAAGGCATCTTGGAAAGACATTGCACCTCCCATGGCTTCTTTTGTGACGCGTGCTACCTCCGAACCTTTACCACAAAAATCTGCAAGCTCATCGATTCCTTCTTCACAGATTAATGTTGAATCAACATCAAAACAAATTATGTCAGATTTTTTTACAATTTCAGAGGCTTCTTCGGAATTTTTACTTGACTTCAAGGCGTCGCGGTTAGGGGCAGACACCATAGTTCTATTTATTAATGATACCTTTCCAGATGAATTTAATTGAACGTTATCTGTATACGTAAAGTCTGAATTTGACGTTGAAGCAGTAGATTGAATAGCTGCCGTAAATGTATCATTTAAGAGATTCCCGCTTCTTGCCACGCGAACCGAACCCATAGTCATACGATTCATTGTTTACTCAAATTACACCAGTTACGTCAATCCGAATAGAAAAAAGTAGCTTCAGCTGTTGGTACTGCACTTGTTTTGTTTACTGGATTAAGTGAAGATATGATGATAATGCGTATTCAATAACGATTTGCTTTTTTATTTCAACAAAATTAATCACGCCACAATTTATTAATCCCCCTTTTGTAAATTAAAGCAATTTTGTTAAAGGCTTTATTTTTATAATGCTGGTTTGCTTCAAACAAATAAAATTAACTAATTAACCATACCAATGTGAATTTAAAAAGATCGCTCATTGAAGGAAAACACGCCAACAAGTAAATTAATATTTGCTCTTTGCAGAGTTCTTAAATGAAAGCAATGTGCAAATTTCCGCACATTTAAATATTCCACGTTTTCTTCCCGTGGAAATTTCCAATGATTATTAGCACTAATTCAAACAGCTGATAAGCAGTGCTGCAATTTTACCAACTTGTAACTTAATTTTATATAATTATTAAAGCCATTCTATCGAAACTTTGAAATATGTAAGCAAACCTTTTCATTATAGTCAACTTACAGTAAAAACCGTAATTTATCATATGACAGATTTCATACAGATATTTCAAAAACAAATATCGCAATTATTTTAACTGCACGAATCATTGTGGGAATCAGGGAATTTCTTCAGAGTGAGCTTACCCATATATTATAGTGTTACCAGAGACCGTATATACATATAAATCATATTATAAACGTTCGCTGATATAAATATACGTTCTCTGGTCTTATAGCAGGAACAATGACAAACGTAAGTGAAAAACGTAGAATCGTGGGTCGTGTCAGCTGATACCACCTATCTTATGGGCGCGCAATGTAAGTGCACAGTGAAAAACGCTACTCCCTTCTCTCTTTGACGTAGGATGACGTGGGAATCTACAGCATTTTGGTTTTTGCCGTGGAATGCGTATTGAACAAACAAATATTAGCTGAATTCTGCGTTTTTGCCACGATTTTCACTGCTCACACATTTCGCCGATGAGAAAGGAAAAGAGAGGAAGGCAGTAGCGTTTGTCACTGGCTCTGCTATTACTGTCGCATCAGCTGATTTGATTTGCTATCAAATATAATTGAAACACCCTGTGTCACGAACACATTTTATTTTCCTCCACCGCCATTATTTACCCACTGTCAGCTTTAAAATTGTTACAAAATAATTTTTTTAATAAAATAAGATGTTTTCTTTTATTTGTTCTTTGAGAACGGTGTTAGCTCGACAACAAAGTGTTGACATATTAAGGAAACTTCATACATCAGCTATTTGTGAAGCTGCCCGTAAGGGCACTCGAGAGAAGGCTCGAAAGAAAAAAGTTAAAGTTGAAGTGAAGAAAGTGGGGTTCATACCACATAATCAAAGGGATAAGAAGTAATAATGTACAATAAAGAGGAAATAATAGATAAATATTATGATTATTAATTTCTTTCAGAATTAACTTGCAACGTGAAAATTTACACTTTGATGATTCTTGGAAACAATTACCACAGGACAATGTTTATGTTCTGAAATACTATCGTTGGCCGGTATACACAGTTGCTGATGCTATACAGTGTCATCGTGAAACGCATCATCCTTCAATGTACAATGTGCCTAACGCTCCACTCATCGTAGATATTGAATTGGATATGCGAGCAGAGAAGAAAAACCGATTCGTAGACAACTTTCAGCGCATGGCTATGATACCTCATAAATTCGAGCACGGTGAGGATCGCAAAATCCTCGTTTTCACAAAAGGAAATGTATGTTATAAACAAAAATATCCTAATTGAAATTACATACTAATTTCCTAATTATAGGATGAGATCAGTGAGGCTCGGGAAGCCGGTGCTACACTTGTAGGTGGTATTGAGTTAATAAAGGACATAACCAATGGAGAGTTATTACTGACCGATTATCAATTTGTACTCGCACATCCAAATATTTTGCCGGAGTTGGTGGCCCTGCGAGGACTGATGAAGCGTAAGTTTCCAAACCCACGAAGCGAGACTCTTGGTACAAATTTAGCAGAAATGATTGAACGTTTTTCAAATGGCATTAGCTATTCAGCCACCAAGGATGAGCATCAACAAGATTTTGGATTGATTTCAACAAGCGTGGGAACATTAGATATGGATACTCAAAAATTAGAAGAAAATTTACGTTCCTTACTGCTGGATGTTGATTCAATACGTCCTAAGCGTGATGGTGAACGATTTATAAAACGTGTACTACTTAAGAGTCCACCGAGCAGTGAACGACTGAAAATAGGTGCTTATAAATATGTACCAGAGTTCTACGTAAAAACAGCTAATAAAGCTTCTACGAAATCGAACGAAGTCGAGGAACCGGAAGAAGAATCTAGTGAAAAACAAGAAGCTGTCGCTGCACAATAATGTTACATTTAAAAATTGTTAATAGACAAGTAATCTGTACTGCTGAGTGTCATAAATAAAGGTTGAATTAAATGTAAGCCATTTAAGGTTCTGAAAAAAACTACCGTGTTAATGTGTGGATAATCTGTTGGCTGTTACGATTCGGTGAGGCAACGGTAATGCTAATAATGCTAACAGGAGGAATATGGTTATTGTTGTTGTTCTTCATGTATGAAAGAATAAGAATTTCGTTTCTTGCCAGTGGTTTTAATTTTTGGTTTATCATATAACTATCATCGTCATGGAGGAAATTGTAAAGGAATATGTTTGCCTTACAAAACTTCAACATAAGCTTATTATATACGTAATTATAACTTTTCCCTTAAAAATGCAAAGCCGGTTGAAAAAGTTTTCCTTACGCCTTTTGTGTCGCGGTAGTCCGTTCGTGTTGACGTTGCATTTCCAATTGCTTCACACGTGTATACGCGGCACTAGCCAGTAAAACAATAATATTTGATGCCCACCATAATGCTGACTTTGCATCATTATACCATTGTGTCGCTATAACAGTCTGAGCGCAGGCCTTTGCAGTTCCAGAAATGTTGTGAGTTAATGGTGATGTTACCTGCATAAATTATGAATATACATTACAAATAAATTAAAATCTCCAAAAAATTGTAAGTTGCATTGTATTTTTATTACCTTAATTTGCAAAACTGTAACAAATCCAATTGCGAAACCGCAAAAGCCGCCAAGCACCATAGCACTAATAAACCAAGGAGCAAATATGTTTTCATAGTTGAGAATTGCGTTCATTTCTCCATTAATGAAGATTAAAGGCAAGAAAAAGACACTGGAGTAGACATTATTGTAGTAGCTTAGTAGAAGAACTTGCTGATTAACATGAACTAATGCTTTTTTGGTTTGAATGGAATACCAGGCCAGTATAAACGAGCCCATAACGCCATAGATTGTGCCGCGTAGAGAGAACTGTGCAGTTAAGCTCTCCTGGTCGACTCCCAAAAGGAAACCAAAAACAACGAATACACAGCACATTGTAGCCTTAAAGCTGGTTTTTTGTCGTAACAGTATATATGTTAGTACGACATTAAAAACCGTCGTTAACGATCGGCCAACATAATAAAAAGCTACTCCCACATATTTAAGGCACAAATTATTTGTTGCGACCATTAAAGTAAACAAAATGGATAACGGCAAAATCTAATGATAAAAAAAAATGTAAGTAATGTAAGAATTAATAATAAATTTTGAAATTACCTTTCGAAAAATATCCACATCAAATGGATTACCTTCTGGGAACGTAATGATATTTGGATAACGCCGACCAAGAGCACTCAAAAGCGCACATAAACCCGCGGAGACAAGGCATTGGAACCAGCATACAAAAAGGGGTGCGTCTAAATTTACCGCATCACTGCTTAGTAGTAATTTATTCATAAACACTGTACATATTGATACTGTCCTGCAATGGCATTAATGAACGGAAAGTCATGACATTAATTATTTATATATATATATTTTTTTTTCTTACCAATATATAGCTACTACAAAAAATACCAATAGGTATTTATTCACTAATCGGTTGTGCTCCGACATACTTGTATACATTGTGGCGATTTGTGCGTTTTACTTAAATTATATTAATTAAATTTACGATTAAAAACATATTGCTTTAGAAGAGGCCAACTAAAACTGATAAATAATCAAACAGCTGTACAAATTTGTCAGTATTTTTTATTTGTATATCTATTATTTCGTATGACAACTATAATTCAACCAGAGATAAAATTGTAACTATATTATTGAAAAGAAACTTTGCCAGGTAACCCACTAATTAATACTTTTATTTTTTACTAAAAATAAGATATATTTTCAGTCCATAATTTTTTTAACATATCAAGGGATATATCTCTGACATCAATTTACATAAATGTAAACAAATATTAGTCGACTTTGATTACTAACATTCGACTTTTTATCAATGATTCGATAATCACATAGATTAGAACCTCTAACAAAGGAACAATAACTTTTGTTGAAAAATAATAATTTTGGATTCTTTGTAGAAATGTCTAATATAGAATCCGATGGCGAAGATTGGTTCAATAAAGATGAAGAAGAGATTTTGCGGAACTTGCAGTGCAAGGTTAAAAATAAGCATGCGGAAGGTACGGAAGCTAACACCGAAGATATAGAACCTAATACCGAATATGCACTTGGTCCATCAGAAACAAGTATGATAATGCAAATGTACATATGTATATTACTAACGGTTTTTTAAATAAAACTACAGACGAATACCTTCACCAAAAACGACTGGAAGCTTCATCACACCTTTCCAAAGAAGCTGATGTAAAAAAGATGACCACGTCACAGATGCGTAAGGCAATTAATCTAGAGCCATTGGACGTTTTCCTCTTTGTTATAACACACGAAAAAAATTTTTTTGTTCATACAATTTCGAGTAGTGATGGATTGGAACGGGTTATTTTATACTTGCGTATTTGGTGTAAAGTATGTGAACTCGAGCTTCCTGGATTTCAAAAAGAGCTTCTACAGTACTTTGTGAACAATGATATATTTTTAGAACAGTTACGATTTTTAACTGCTAAACTTTTTCAAAAAAAATTTAAAGCGATATGGAAAAATGTCGAAGTGGTAGAACAGATCCTATATGCAATGAGATTCCTTATAGTTCGTTCGCATAAATGGCAACTAATAACAACTAAAGCGTCTTATATAATTGATCATATAAAGAAACTCATTGAAGATAGCGATAATCCGGACATGGTTCAACGGCAACTGAGCCAGCAGCTGAAATTTGAGTTGGATAGAGTGTTAAAAGATGAATGTAAACAGCTAAACGAAAATGTTGACGTAATCTAATTAATATCCAACTAATAATTCATAAGATATAATCGATATGTAAATATTTTCAGATATATCCCACACTTAATGAACTCTTTAAAGGAAACGGGGAAGACTGTGATCAAATCATTAACGCTTTAAAAATTACTGAAAAATTAGAAGTGTCAGAGTATATCGCAAAACAAAAACGTATTCTTCGTGAAGATTTTATGATTCCTCTACGTGATTATGTATGCAAATTGAAAGAATTTGGTACAGCACCACATGGGCCGGAGATATATGAGGACGTTTGCATAGTTCTTAATGCAGATTTCAACAATGCTAAGCGCCATGAAATGCTTTTCGTTGATGTGATCGGGAAAAAGCGCCCAATGGAGGAAGATATAAAAAATATCTCTTTGACTAAGCAAAAAAAAAAATTAGCACGAGATAGAAAATTAGCACAAAAATTAGCACGAGGAAAAGTATCAGCAATTAAAGCTGGTTCCTTACTATTATTTACAACAAGTAGGAACTTTGAAAATCTCATCTTGGCAACAGTTACTAACACCCACATATATCTTCTAAATTTGGGATACGTAAGTAAAATTTAAATATTGTAATAGGTTTCTAATAAATTTCCGGTTAATACAGTTAGGTATTGAAAATGTGCGACAATATAATATTGGAACCTTTTATGACAGACCTTTGTTGATGTTTGAAGCACCAGCCTTCTTTGAACCTTATAATAACGTTTATAGTTGTTTGAATACCTATGGCGAGGATAAGCTGTCTATGAAGCAGTATATTATTGATGGTGAGGTAATGTTGCTTTATTATTCCAACTAGTCGATGGCCGAAAATAAATAAAATACATTTTATTTTTAATTTTCATTTGCCTTTACAGAGCAACGTATCTCCACCTCGTTACCTACAAAGAACTAAACCTTATTCATATGATAGAGAAAAATTATCATTGGATACAACGAAGCCAACCAAGCCAAAAAGTCTTCCACTAAATGAATCACAGTTTAACGCATATTGTAAAGCATTAACACATGAATTTTGTTTAATACAGGGTCCACCAGGAACTGGTAAAACCCACCTGTCGGTACATTTGGTGCGTACTCTTATTTCGAACGCTAAAACACCCACCGTAATAATTACTTACACGAACGATTCGCTTGACAAATTCTTATTGAAGCTTTCCTGCTATACCAGTAACATTTTACGATTCGGTAGCCAAACGCGTCTCCCCGAAATTTCAAAATTTAATGTACAGTTTCAAACCACAAATGAAATGGTAAATCCCTGCCTGAAGCGTCTCTACTACGTTGTTAACGAAGAGTTTAAGACTAAGTTCGCAATCGTCCAACAAATGCATTCGAATTTCGATGGCAGTGAAGAGTCCTACCAGAGTTTGTTGGCAGCTCAGAGGGCTTTACGTGATGTTCAGGAAAAGTTAAAAACAATACGTATAATGTTTCAATTTTATGTAGCACGAAAAGCGGATATCATAGCAATGACATCAACTTTCGCTGCTAGAAATAACTTCCTATTTCGCTTGCTGCAATGTAAAATCGGTAACACTATTTACTATATATACTATTTGGTGAAATAATTGTCATTCTAAGCTTTTCTTTATTTGCTTGAATATTTGCAGTGATTTTCGAGGAAGCTGCGGAAATTTTGGAATCACATGTTCTGGCTTGCTTAACGGAATATACCGAACATGTCATCATGATTGGTGATCACCTGCAATTAAAGCCTTATACTTCGAACTATGGCAATAGCCTCACGTCTCAACTAAATATATCATTATTCGAACGGCTATTTGTTAGCAATTTAAAAGGGTATACGCTCAACGTTCAATATCGTATGCGCCCTTGTATTGCGGATCTAATTCATCCCACTTTCTACACTGACCTTAAGAACGATTATTCAGTAAACAATTATCCAGTCATTCGAAATATGGATAAAAATCTGTATTTTTATACGCATTTCTGGAACGTATGATACTTACCTAACATAATACTATCAATTCCTATTACACCTGAAAAATTTATAGTAATCATGTATTTTGTTTACTTTCAGGAAGAATGTTCATTCTTTAACCTATATGAGGTGATGAAAATCTTAGAATTGGCCAAATTCTTAATAGAAAAGGCTTCTTATACAGCAAATGATATTGTCATTCTAAGTCCTTATGCTAAACAAGTGGAATGCCTAAAATCCGAGGTAAGCATAGTTTTGTTTCACAAAATATAAAGAAAGTATGTATGTAGTCATATTGGTATTGCAGGCACCTAAATATTTTGAAAGTACCAACTTGAATATTTCTACTGTGGATAGCTTTCAGGGATTAGAGGCTAACATAGTACTTTTGTCGTTGGTGCGAAGCAATAACAAAGAACAAATTGGATTTCTCAAAGAGAAGAATCGTATTTGTGTAGCTCTTTCGCGTGCCAAACAAGGCCTGTATATCATTGGAAATCTACCGTTACTAGCTGGATGCAGCGAGTCGTGGCGGTCCATTGAACAGATATTAAAGTCACAGGACGCTATCGGCAATGCGTTTCCATTCTCAAATAAAGAATAACAGTAAAGACTTCTAATGTTTAAGCTAAAAAGCATTGAAACGTTAAGTGTGGAATTTAATTTTGTATTTTTAATCATTTGTTTCCTGTGTACGCGCATTAATTCTATAAAATAAAAAACATTTTCCCTTGACATTTTATTTATTTATTTACTGTATGTTTTATTTATGAAAGTTTTTTTTATTATTATTTATTTATTGATTTTCTTGTTATCATTTATTTATGCTTTTATGATTCTTCTATAACCATTTTTAAGCTACACTCCAATGATAAAATTTTACTGAAATCATGTTGGCTTTCCCTTTGTTCCGTTGTTTTGCTTTTATGCATGTATCTATGTATTAAGTAATTCATACGATTAGATAACGTTCTCACAGTTATAACTTTATGAATATATTTATGTGTATGCAATAAGTTTAATTAAATTTAAAAGAAAAGCTGCTATCCATATGTACGTATGTAGTAGACAACTGTGTGTAAAATTTGTGGATTTCCTCAACAATGTGTGCAATAAGGAGTCGCATAAACATATAATAAGCAGTATAATACGTAACGTATAAAGCATTTTTGTTTTTGTTTTCTTCTCACCCAATTAGCAGCTTAAAATGTTGATTCATATTATGGGTCTTCGACATTATAATGGAGATATACATATCTACCATACTTGAAGTTTCTAACCATATGAGCATTTGCAATTTTTATGGTAAATAATTCAAGCTGATCAAGAGATTAGTAAGCAAAAGCTTTATCCTTATCGAACAAACTGATTTTCTTTATTGCGGCTGCGCTCTGGCTTCTACTTTTTTTTAAAGCTTACATTATAAATTTCCATACATACATAAGTGTGCAAGTATATATATATGTATGCATTTAATCATTCAACCAGACATAATTTGTTCCTCGTAATTTCTGGTTGCGTTTTCAGATATTTCTCAACTTAGTTTATTTACTAATTCGCCTGCAAAACTGATACAGATTTTTTAACTTGATGAATATTTAAAAAACTTAACAATACTCACAAACTTTTGAAAATGTTTAACGAAATTATCACCGAATTCATGCCTAGAATATGTGTGCATTCGCTTGGAATCACCACTTTTATTAATTTTAAAATTTAATTACAATATTCCGTTTTTATTTAAATTAGTTTGAAAGTATTTAATTATGTCTGGAGTGTTGTTGTTCCAGTACACATTTTGAAGAGTATTTTACAATATTACAATAACAATGAAGTATTTTACACTACTACGAAAACAATGATGAATCCAATTTAAATTGTTAAGATTTCATCGTTCCCTTTATGAATTACTTTTGTACTGATTTGATGTTGTTTACTTTATATATGTACGTATTCCTGCATATTTTTTTTTTATTGTTTGAATACACCGCAAAGCTTAGCTCGGCAGTTGCTATAGTTGTAAGAGAAATTTGAAATCCAATCGAAAAGGCTTTTAACTTTCCCGCAGTTAAAACAATCTACGGAAAATATAGTTATCTACAGCGATTTCACTTATTCGAACTCGACAAAATAAATGAATTGTATTTGGTATTCCGGTAGAAAATATTTTCGAAATTCGAATTTCGATTTGAATCAAATCTTAGCTCCAATGAAATTCGGTGGAAAATGTGAATGACGAAATAAATATATATTTATATATACTTTTTTATATGGGGTTTGATGTTTCTATATTAAACAAATTTTAAGTGCATAGTAGATGTGAAAACTTAAATCACGCTAATGAAGAATATCATACTTATATAAATAGAGGGAGATAAATAATGCTTTTGATTGACGATCTCTAGATATGGCATATTTGTAAATGCGCATTTATTTATTTCTTTATATTAAACTGTTCAACTAAATTGTTAAATTTTTATTATTTTGTTCTAGCATTTATTTATTTTTAAACTTTATGTTTGCATTTTCAATCAACCACTCATAATCGTGTACTTTGTCTATATAAAAATACATTATATATATATGTATGTATGTAGTATGTGTGGTATACTTTTCGGCGAATATTTTTTTATCATTACGCTTTTTTATTGTTTTAATGTTGTTTTACATGTTTTCTATTTTCATAAAAACTTCTTAGCACTTTTTTTGTATGTGTGTGAATAAAATCAATATTTTATTATGAATGTATGAACTCTTTACAAGCATTCTCACTAAATTGATTTATATTATTGGTGTTATTGCAGTTTATTAATTCACAATTTTGATTTTCAAATGCAAAAATACCTCTTGGATTTGATCTGGTATCATTGGTAGTTTATTTATTTTTCCTTATTTGCCTTGCCATTTGCATGTACATACATATGTAATTTTGTTATATTGTGGCAATTAATTGTTTTTAGCTTTAAAACTTGAAATACAATTTTTACTTAGTTACAGATTCACAATAAAAAAAATGGTAAATAGAAAATTCTGCTTTAAGCATACGAAGAAGAAACTGAATTAGGGGGCATTAGGAAAGACGTTGCATGCGCTTTTGACCGATGTGTTTGCTTTTAAATTAATTGGGATACTCTGTGTCACATAGTAAATAGTGTTGCGTGGCAAATGATCTTTACTCTTAAATTAGGTTATGTTACAAAGTAAAGATTTACAGTAAGTTCTTATTACAAAATAAAGCAACTTTACATACATACATATTTCTAAAAAAAAAGTAACTTTTAGGGTAAGTAAACTTAGAAAATTCTATTGCAAAGCTTAAAATTATACTCAATTAAAAATATGTTTTTGCATAAACGATGAAGAGGATCGATCATAAGTCAAGTTTTTTTTTAAATTTAAACCATGAGGCAGTAACAGAGATAGGGACAGAGTAACATACAAGGTGGAACTTCGAAAACCAACTCCCTTACTTTTTTCTTTTTTTTTCAAGTGATTTTCAAAGTTCCACGGCAGAATGATAGGACGGACTATTGAAGAGAAAGTGTATGGAGTCCAAGCTGTATGCCATTAGCAGCAGGCAAGCGTGTTAAACGTTCAAAAGCTGGAGGAGAAATTTAGAGTTAGTTATACCCACGAAAGAAATAGCTAAATAAGATAGCACTTTAAAGCGAAATATAAATGAAATATAATTTTTGTTTAAATATACGATGATATCAATTTAAATTTTCTATTACAGAAGAAATTAGAAATATTTAACAAATAAGTTCAGAATGAATACTAATAATAAACCGGATTTGCATTAAAAACGAAAATTACAAACTCACTACGCATTTACTTTGCAATTAAGAAATACTCATCAAAATATAGTAAATATTTAAAAACTTTTTGTTGCATTGAACGAAGCTAATTGATAGAAGATATTATGTTAAATGAAGAAAGGTGTAATGAAGTACGCACATCGCATTTGATTGCAAGATGTGTCGAGCTTGTTAAGCTACTAAATTAAGTAAATCAAAAGCAAAAATGGGTATCCAACGGTTCAGCCAGCTGCTATAACACACATACATACTATACATATAATGGGCTTACATGCATCGCTGCAATTGAGAAAATGGATTATACGAAAGGGAATATATCAGTCGGTGGTTGGAGGAGGTGGAAAGACATAGCAACACTTCTTTGGGGATAATAAGAGAATGGGTAGATGTGAGGAACATTATAGTACTACATATTTACTTGCTTTACAAACTTAAAATGTATGCAAATTTTGTTGGTGTTTATTTTGTGGTTTCATAGATATATGGTTCATATATGATGTTGATATTCTCCTTGTTGTTGGTGGCCTTTTAACATTTTCTCTGCAGTTGTTGTTGTTGTTGAACTAAAGGATGTATTTTCGTACAATGTTATTGTTGTTGTTTTGACATAGTGAATGAGTGGTGGATGTTTGTATGTATGAATGAGAAATCGTGAGTATGTATGCGTATGAAGTACTGCCATTTCGGTCACTACGCATGTGTATGAAAGACGATTTCTTGCTTTATGTTTTTGTTGTTGTTTTTATCTACTTATTTATGTTTTATTGTTTGTATATTTTTTTTGTTTGTTTGTGGTCTTTATGCGGCGATTAGCAGACGCTAAACTGTCCTGCTATTCTTACAACAACTACATTACATTTATGTTTGTTGCTGTTGTTGTTGTTGTTGTCTGATTTGGCTGTCAACCTTTTATTGCTACCGTCGATTAATCAGTCCATTGGGCGGTGCTTGTTGTCCCGCCGTATGCATCAGTTCCAACTCGACCAACAGCGGAAAATGATCCGAGGGTATGTGGGGATGCGGGCAGCCAACAACTTTATTCTCACGCAGCCATTCATTCGAAATGGGACCCAATAAACCGAGCGGCACCATACCTGTTTTAGTATAGAATATATAATCGATGATGCCCTTAAAGTCGAACGTGTAGTTCGTGTGCGGCATTATGTCTTCACTGTAGGCGGAGGCCAATTTGAAGGAATGCGTAAACTCGCTGGTGTCATTCGAGAGTAAGCGTTGCAGGCATAATTTATAGCCCATGTCCTTGAAATCTTGATGGTCCATTGCTACACGTCCCTTGCCGAGAAATTCGATAACACCGGAATCGGGTAAGGAATTGAAATCACCACACAACAATAATTGTACGCTATTCGAGTCATTTTTATGACCGGGTCTGAAGCTGTGGCTCGCCTCATCGATAATAGTCTTAAGTTCATTGCTCAACATCATCGTTTGGATAAGTTTGACATCGCAGAATTCGGGATCCCAGTGAATGTGTGCAGTGCAAACAAGTAAGGGCTGGGAGATTTGTGTCACCTCCGTCATTGGATCCCAAGCATTTTCCTTCACTTTCAGCAATGCTGCCAAACCGATATTGTCTTTCGGCATTACGCGATTCAACATATTGTCCGAGCCCTCAGCATTAGCCATTGCCAATTGATTGAATTCGATTAAATGTTCCTTAATCAATGTGAATCTGTTAGATAATAAAATTAATAAAAATAATTAAATTAAATAAAAATAAATTAGGTCCATAACCTTAAATCTAATAATTTTATGAGTACCAGATTTAACAGTTTCTACTGTAGAGAATCCTACTCTATGTTGTTTTTATGTTTATATCTGTATACACTCACTTTGCAGCTCTAAAGAAAATAGCGCAGCCGTCCACAAATTTACGTTCCATCTCTGACATAGTCTTGGCACGGGATTTCGGCGAGAAAATACCCTCATAACCATCGGCCTTCAGTTCAAGCAGAAAGAAATTATAAAACTGTTCTGTTTCGATTTCTTGCAGACTAATTATATCCGCCGAATAGTGACGGATTTCGTCAAGTATCGCCTTTTTTCTGTACTCCCAACTCAAGGCCCATGATGGACAGTATCCGTACATCTGTCGTGTGGCATATTTGTCGCACAAAACATTATAACACATAACTGTAAAGATGCCTATAACAAATAAAACATAAAATATTCATTTATAGTATGTGTTGTATCCACATACATACATACATATGTATTTACAATATATGTATGTATGTTTTTTATGAGTATAAAAATTATGTAAGATGAGATATAAAGTCTACAAAAGAAGAAACTTACATGCTGGCCTCGATTTGTTCGGTTTAGCTAATGGTATCCATGGACGTTGGGGCGGAGGGGTTACTGAAACTAGAAGTAAAAAATATATATGGAATTTTATTAGACGTTATAAGCAAAGATAGTTTGGGTATCTAAAATAATATACACACAATATGAATAATATAAAATATAAAACCTTATGTTGTTAGTTTATGTTGAATTCATTCAATATTTTTGTAAATTGTTTCCGAATATTTGTAGAGCTTTTTCTACAAAAACTTTTTTTTCTGTTTTAAAAATAAAGAAATTTCGGTGTTCTTATTGATATGTGGATCCAGACCAGATGAATGAGTTAAGTGATGATTCTTTCAGAATAAGAAATGATTTAGCCGACTTTTTTGCAGAATATTGTATGATGTTTTTTCCTTTTGATGCCTTTTGGGGTCGTGAGAAAGAAATACTAAATGGTAAGAGTTATGGCTGATCAATAAATGCCAATATATTCAATATATGTAAGTCTTGAAACGATTTCGGTACCTTTAATCTTCGGCGAATAAGCAAGATTGTCTTCCAATTCAAACGAATTTTGTAAATCGAAGAGCAATTTAGGGCAAACCTTTCTGTCATATTACTCGTGAAACGTAGTTGAGATTGGGTATACAATTATAAAGTCGCAACCGTCATATAATGTATTATATCCCACTTCGATTTGTAACATAAAACTAATTTGTATTTCTAAAAGGTATTTCCTTAAATGTGTGAGAAAAAAATACAAAAGCAGGTGCAGGTGAATATTTGCCGATCATCTGCTACAAAGCTTATTAGATATGAAAATAATTGATAATTGCACATTTCACTTTCTTTGATATAATTAGGTAGCCCGGAATTGGAATGGTGATAGCTAAGTGGATTTGGGTACTTCCACTAGGCACGCAATGCTTTGCTCATGGAATATATAATGAGTATATACAAGCTATGAATGTACAATTGTATGCTTTTTAATTTGCCAGTCTCAATGCGATTTGCACGAAATCGTCGAGGGAATTAAGTAAGCCGTTGGCGTCGTAAACGCCACAACAAACATCTTAGATTGCACTGGATTTATTATTTTGTTTGTTGTTATGGGTGTATGATTAGCTGTGTGTTGTATGTTTGTTGGTATTATGGTATTATGACGTTGGTGGTAGTCAATGAGCAATTGCAAGCGCTACGGTGAAAGTGACCCACAAATTACTTCCGTGTAACTAACAACAACAACTAGACCAATATCAACAGTAGTTAAAAATTATGTTCACATTATGAACGATCATACAATTTTATAAATTTAGATGTGATATACGCTTTACACTTTACCAAGCCCTACTAAATAAATTAGCTTATTTTGTTGCCTTTTACCAACAAAAAAATATACGTGTATTAACAGAAACAGCTAAAATTCATTTGGATTAGGTTCCTGCACGTTCCTACGATTGCCAAGATTTGACATTCACTACTACTTGGTGAGTCCTAGGGCGCTGCATTTAACTAATAAATATGTAATTACTGAAAACATCAGCGTTGCTGCTTTATATTTTCGATGAATAATTAATAATAATAATAATAGTAATAATAAACGTTACATATTGAATTACAATATAATTACGAACGATTAATAAGAATCATCATTATTCTCATAAAAATAGAGATTGAGCACATCAAATACCTGCAAAGCAAAATCGGTTTAATTGGAACAATATGACATAATGTTTTATTTATTATAAGAACTTGAGATGATTTACCATTTTACTCGTCCGGAAATTTCATGGTATATCTGTCAAAATCCAACTAATAGCTAAATGACCATATAATTTTAAAATAATGCGATAATAAAAAAATCTCGAGATGGAGACTTTTTTGACACACGTTAAGCACTATCATAGATTTGAAGTTATTCTAAAGATATTTTTGGGATATGACATTGACCACATTAGAGGCGATCTCTTCCTTTGTACGTGAATATGAACTATCATATTCAAAATCGTACAACCTTTATTTAACAGTAGTGGAAAAAGACTCGAAAAGCTAAAAATATTAATAAGCTACTACCAACTTTCATTACATGATTAAAATAATAATTTGATTCAATCGAATGTTTTGTAACAACCACAAATCGCACAGTTGGTTTTGCAAAATCAATGGAGATATGTCTGTATGTATATATAATTTTTTATAAGCTTGTAAAACTAAAATTTAATTACATCAATTTTCAGGGTTATTTAAAAGTCATTATTTTTTTATAAAAACATAATTGAGCTCCAGCTTAAGTCAGAGCCACAGCCAACTAACTCTACCACAGAAACAAAGGCAAAAAGCAAAAGCAAAAATCTGCAGCTAAATCCGTTACAACTGGCCAATAAAAAGTTGCTAGCAACAGTATATATTAAATAAAACCCAAACACCAAATACATTAACAAAGGCAAAGATTGTAACTGCAAAAAATACCGAAAATAAAGACAACAAAGAGGGAGCTAAAATTAACCGAATCATAAAATCGTAAAAAGTGAAAGTTCTCCCCACTGCCCGGCACCAAGTAAACAGACACACGAGAAGCCAATGTAAACAGAAACGCACTGTTGCGTGGCGTCATCTTGAAATAACATAACCAAAAAAAAAAAAACCCCCCAAAATAAAATAAACATGTAAATTAAGACCGCCTCTCTTGAACATTTTAATATAGTGGTTTTTAGTATTTCCTATAAATACGGGGTTTGTTCTTAATACTTAATTATCACTTGTATTTTTCTCGATGGAGTATAAGAAAGCAAGATTTTCAACTTGGAAATTTACTAAAGTCCACAAATAGGTAATCTGAATAGATCTGAAAAATAGTTAAAAGATTGGATGAAGTAGATGTTACCAATCTTGATGGTATTACAAAATTTAGACAGACCTTTGGATCTATGGTGGACTTCATGTATGTAAGCATATCTTATCATCCATTCCTAAGTGGTAAAACGTATATTTATTAAATGTCACTTATGTAAATGTACCTCACTCTACAAAAGCGAAATACATACATATATTAGTGCAAATCGATCGTCACGACATTTAAAAATCACACTTGCACCTTCAGTTTCTTAGCTAGCTTTGTGCTTAGCGCTAACAAACAGAGCTTCAAGTGGTTTTTTGATATACAATACTGTAGAGAGGAGGTTATTAATGTTAAAAATAGTAAGACTCTTTAATTTAAATTCCGCGCAAAAGCATATACATTCGTCAAAAAATTTTTTTCTGGGTTCTCTAGGTGGCATCTGCGACAAATGTCACATCAAAATAATCATTAGTGTTTAGTATATACATACATATGTACTTGTCTTTCTGAAGTACATAAAGTGCATTTGGCGATTTTTGCGATGAGTGAAATTATTCAATAAAGTTCCATTAAATTTTTTGTGTGGAATCAAATTTCTGATGCCGAAAGGTGCAGAATGTTGGAAAAGGCCTTTAGTGATAGGTAGAAATTATTCAAAGAGTGATTAGAGCGCATTGACGACGAACCACGTCCAGGACGACCATCAACAGCAACTGATAATCAACACGTCAATAAAATAAATGAATTGGTGCTTGAAAATTGACGATTAATAGTCATAGATTTTATTGGCGTCGTCCATTCCGAAGAAAACGTTTTGACTCAATTGAAGACATTAAACGTGAATCGCTAAGCTCATTGAAGGCTATTCCGGAAATTTGGAGAATTGGAAAAAACGTTGCCACAGGTGTATACTGGCCAGAGAGAATTACTTTGAGGGAGCTGACATAGATTTTGAAGAATAAACTAAGAATTTTAAAAGTATGAACAAAGTCTTATTATTATTTTTTTGGTTAAAAAGGGTTTTTGGTTTTATTAAATTAGCTGATACAACAAAGCGATTACAATTTTTGCCATAAATGCACGTCACTTGCACTCTCCCAAACCAAATGCTGATAAAGCAAACTAACATTTAAATATTTACATATGGATGAGCGTACACAACGACGCGGTCGAAAGCCTCCAAAGGCGAAATCAGCTATGGTTGGGTATCTCCTAGTAGACTTGTATGGTTTTCGTGTGTTTGTTTTGTTTCAGCCACTTCAATTTCCACATCGTTAACTCCTGCTGCTCCATTGAGTTTTCGATCGGTTGCGTTGTTGTGTTGCGTCGGACAACGTTCGATCGAAAAAGAAAGTGAATTTACTGCTTCACTGGCTTTTTTATATTGCACAGATATTGACTTATTAGCTGTTGCATTAGGGTAGTTCCAGAAGCGCTCGGAAGTTATTCGCTGAAGCTTATGACTGCTGGTATTGCATTGGTATTCAGCCATATTTTTTTATTTCCAGTAGCGCGGATACGAATTTGTAAGTGTTTTCTCTAAATATTTTATCGACATTATAACTGCATATTATTAGTATTTCTGCGCATCATGTCCATGGCATTGTCGTGACGTGTTATTACTTTTAACTTTTTTAATAAGTCCGTAACCGATTGCATGCAGCACAGCTACTTTATCAGTGCAGGGGTGTAGCGATTCAAACTCGCTTGCTACTTGTGCCGCTATTGCAAAGCTTTGCCACCATAAATAAAACCAGTTTAACTGCATTTTTATGCACACATTTTCATTACACGCGAAACCGTTTGCTGCCAAAAGTTGAACCATAGTGTGCAGCACTTTGCGGAGTCATAGCGACATAAATATGTGTGTGTATGCGTGTGCGCGTGCGTATGATAGCGGTGGCAACAACAAAAACGCCATTGCACTGGTTTTACTGGCGGGCAGAGAAGTTGTTAGTCGGGCGATGCTCGAACATTCGTGAGCAAAGATTGCAAACTGCACCACATCTGAAATGCTATCGCCAGCATAGTTGACAGCGTCATAAGCATCAGAAATACATATCAATCGGGGTTTCAACTTTGCGCCAAGAGTGAAGCTGGCAAAACAAGCAATAATCTGAGTGCTGACAATTCACCTAGCGAGAATGATTTTCAATAAATGTGTATAAATTTTACCAAACAAACTAAATAACAAAAAGGAAAAAATAAAGCAAATCGGTGTTAGGAAAAATCTATTACT